GTATGTGTATGTATCTTTTAAAAACAGGAGTGCTAAAGTGTATTATACAGAGGTCTCAAAAGAACAGCAACAATTCCTGTAAGCTCTTGGAGATGGTGAATGCTCGAGGAAAACAGGGCTTCGGGGAGAGTGAGCTGTCACACAGTTTGTTCAGACGGGCAGAGGATGCAGCTTGTGCTCGTGTTTGAGTAATTTTTATGTTAACTTTCTCTCTCGAGGACACAAATTCACCATCTTTCTGCTCCGCAGATGCCAAGAGACTCCCACATGTTTGTTTGCAGCTCAGCACTCAGGTGCCCAGCACCGGGGCGGGCTGCGGAGGCTGCACAAGCCAGGGCTGCTCCCAGGGCCATGAGCCACCCTGTGTCATCCAGGTGCCCCCACATCTGCCACAGGCCCGGTCTCCAACCACGCACCATCTTATTTCAAAATAATTTTGCTTTGTTGTTGCTGTTTATTTATTAAGTAAATTATTTTCCCCAAGATACAGTGCCTAATGATGTGCATATCCACGATATGCCTCAAATGCTGGAATACATTAGATTATAAAAAGGCCTGATGGTGGTTTGTTAATTAGCTTAACGCTTTGGGGACACAAGAGAAGGATTTTTTTTTTTTTTTATTAAAACAGGATAACCCTGGACTATATTGATCTGACTGAGAAATGAGTATTTTAGTCAAGATGAGTCTCAAGATGAGTATGTACTGGAAACAGGGATGCTGTTTCCATAGCAATGCCATGACAGCCTCCAGAGTGAAATAGTGTGCGACCAGGAAATGAAGGGAGCTCAAGTGCTGTGAGCCACATAGTTGTACGAGCAATCCAAACACATTCTCATAAAGAATATTTAGTACAGCTAGATAGGCTGAAGATTGCTGCTGATGTGAAGCAAGCCTTATCAGTGTGCTTCCAGCAGGCCCGTTTGCTCATTCACTGTTCCCAAGGTGACTTATCTGCGGGCTTAAGCTACGGCCACCGCGGCTGAGCCATTTCAGACCGAACATTAACAAATGCAGCAACCTCTGCCTTGCTCCTTCCACAGTGCTGAATATCTTCTATAATTAAGCACACAGACTCCCTTTCTCTGCAACACAACCCAACACATTAAAACCTTTTAGTGAAGAAAGCCTTCTACACGCAATTATTTAGTAGCTGACCTTCTCCCTTCCTTTCCTCTCACCTCCTCTCCCTTCCCTCCTCCTGGCCAGAAGATACTGAGCAAATCTGCTTGCAAGTGAGAAGCAATGCACACAAGTCTTGCATATTGCTTATAAAATGTACCCAGCCATGGCTTAAAACCCACTTGCCTGCATCTCATCCCAGTTGGTGTTTATGCTAATAAAAGGAGCAAAACTGAACCACCCCCAATCATATTTTATTTGCCTACGGCTTTCCCTAAGGCAAATACTCTAGTCAATTTGGAAAGCTCATCTGAAATATTTTCCATAAAACCCAGAAAGAGAATCAGCTTAGAGATCTGCACTGCTTTGTCTTTTCATGAGCTAAGAAATGAAGAATTCTCAGTAAAACTGCTAAAATAATGGCTATAACCCAACCTTCTCAATTAAAATTCCAATTTTACTTTAAAAAAAAACTCATCACGGTGCTGCTAATCTGACAGTTTTTCTCCAGCATTTCCCATGTAATCTGTAAAGACATTCAAAAAGAGGCTGAACGGCCAGAAATTCTAACGCTGGATTTGTTGCTTGTGTCGTTGTCACAAGCAGCCTCTTGGGTAAACAGCTTGTAGTTCATTATATGGAGCTGTGCTGCCTCAGAGGGAAAGTAGAAAGACAAATACGTATCACTGCCAGATTCCCTATTAACAAATGTCATTTCAGACTAAAATATTTTTTTATTTATAGTTTTAAATATGCATTTCAAGGAATCAAGCCTTGTACAGAATTCATTTCTGTTTTTCATCTAGTGAAGGTGGGACCTAAGCATTTTTAAAACTGCCCAATCTTAGACTGCCTAAATGTGTAGCAGAAGGCACGAAGCCCAGCAACATTCATTTATAATTTAAACTGTTTGCTTGGCACAGTTTTTTCTTTTTAATATCGTCTAGTCCTAATTGCATCCTTCACATCCCCAGTTTTTCACCCGAAGCTGATCTGCATCCAAGAGTGCTTTGTGCCAGCGAGCTTTCCGCAGAACAGAAATGGAAACTTCCTTATGGGAGAGATTTGGAAATCGGAGGATCATGTGCCCCTGCAATTTTACAAGAACTCACTAGGGTCTCTAGGGTCAAAAAGATTTCTGTTGAAAGTCTGATAGAGGTTTAAGCCACTCACCCTCTCCTTCCAGCTGTATTGCTCTCACATTTTGGAACACCTACCTCAACTTTTCCATTTATCCATGAGTTCAGTCAGTAAAATGCATCCATCTGATGCTCTGGATCAGACACCGGAGTACAGATAATATCTGTATCACCTGAATTAGAACTGGATACAATCTGCTAACGCCTGGCCTACAGCCATGCATATGTATTGGTATGCTGCCTCAAAAAGCAACCCACTGCCAGCATAGCCTGTGTAGCAAGAACAGTTTGTCACTTAATAGCAAGCATCCATTTACCTAACGCTGTCTCCTGTCACTGACTAAACTCCCTCACCACAAACCCACCAGGTGTTCATTCACGCCTATCTAAAATCAGAAGTAACAACACCTGTATCCAGGATACAAATCCAGGTATCCCAAAGTTTTCCAGGTAAGCATCCCAGGGCCTTTGTCCCAGATACAGGAAAAATACACTCAACACTTAGAAACATACACTTAAGACTTAATTTCCTCTTCTTTGGCAGTCTTAGAAAAAATATAGAAACTGAGCATTCCACTACACATGAACCATGCACTAGTGCACTACGGGTTAAACCAATGATTTGATCACAAACTCTCTAAAACCTTTTGCCAGTAAATATTCCACAATGGAAGGTGCTGATGCTTCCACCACAGTTTGCAGCTGTGACCGAGTATGACAGTTAAACATACAGAAGCAGCAGCAACAACATCCTGAACAGCGTTATTCAATACCAAATACCTATGTTGTCCATACCGTTCCATCAAGACATATAGTAGTTACAATCACAGTAGAAAAGTTGTTTTTCAGGGCTTTCCTAGCATTTTACCAGAATTTGAAACACTTTTAGAAGTCAAACACTTCTGAAAACTACATACGAGAGTTTTCATAAAAAGGTCAAGTAAAATAAAACAGGTAGTCATCGCTATGAAAACTATAGTTTTCATAGCAGTTTCTTTAAAGCTTCCAACACAATTTCCTCACAGGTAAATTAGGGAACAAATATATTTATCTACCAACCATTTAATCTCCATAAGGGTGTGTATATGGCATTTGAACATAAAAGGCTCTTCATGAATGATTATTCTTTCTTTCTATATTAGCAATACTTATGTTCTGATTATTTCAATATTTCCATAGTAAGCCTTTTATTTTCAAGAATTTACACATATTTGGGGGTTAAAATTCATTTGGGGCTGACATTTCTTGCAGACAGTAAGCTCTTAGCATGGGAAATCACTTAATAAAAATTCATACTGCACTCACAAAATATAATAAATATGCATTTGTTTTTTAAAAAGTTGTCAGAGAGACTTCTCTCAGCAGCAATACACATTCTTTTAAAACAGCTTTTCACATAACAATGAGGATCACTAGAAGTAAACACTTATCTTGTATAAGTATCCTGGAACCTGGTCTCGTTATCATATGTAATCATACAGAGATTGCCATGCTTAGTCTAACTCACTGCTTTGCTGTAGAGGTAGGAGCAGGAAAATAAATTGGAAGCATACGGAGGCATCCAGGGACAAGACTGAAAGGTAAAACTATCACCAGAAGCAATTTAAATAAGAGATCTTAGAAAGTGGTTCCCAAAACAATGTTATTGTTTTGGGATAACAACAGGGTACCATCTAACAAGCTTAATCTAGATAGGTGGAGGACAGAAAAAGAACATGAGTTTGGAAACCAACTGAAATATTCCCACCAATTCTCAAGGTAAAAGCACCTCCCTTTGATACTGCAAAGGTAGTTCAGTTTGATTTGGTTTTTTAAGGACATGAAGACTTATTTGACTTAATGAAATTTCTTCCTGCTAGGAGATAGAGAGTCAAGCTCCACAGATGATTTGGGAGAAGCGAGGGAAAAAACAGGAACAGGGAAAAAAACAAACAAACAAACAAAAACACAAGCTTCTCTTCACTTTGTTGCTTTGTTGTAGGAATTTTCACTCAATAGATCAACAACTTCACTTTGATGTCTAACACGCCATCAAACAAACCCAAAGAGAAATCACCAAAGAGCAGCTGGTCTCATAAAATAACCTATTTCCCTTCTTACTGGTCCCTTTTTGTTCTGCAAATCAGAGAGAGTCACTCTTCTTGGCTCCATTTTCTTTTGCTCCCCATCCAAGCCATCCTGTTGCTGTGCAGGGGGCAGCCTCACGGATGATGGCAACGATCCCACCACACAGCGTTCAGGACAGTGCCAGCACTGGGTACCGAAACGAGCGCGTTAACCGCGCACACAACAGCTCGCGTGGAACAGCTGAGCCTGCGCCCCACACTGTGCCCACCTCACACACGGGGCTCTGGGAAGCAGGATAATGCAGAACACTGGGTACAGCCAGGGTAAGGACTGACCTTTCAAAAAAAATGTAGACCAATTAAGCACAAAATATTATCACGGAAAAATAAATAGAGAGGGAATACAGTCATGCAGATAGTTACCATTCTGTCGGCACCAGTTTCGTGGTTACTTGCAAATAACCAACTCTGAGATTTGTATTTTTCACACAAAATTCTCTGATTTCTATTAACTCTTACCTGTCTATTGTGATTTTTGAACACTTTCTGTTAACACATACTGCAGTGATTCTGATAAGTGTAAGGTATATATTTAAAACCTCCATAAAAATTTTAATCTTAAAGGCTCTACCAGTACTAACAACACTAAGCAAGGAAATGTAATAAAGGATACTGAAGCTCCTGTCTGTGATTGCTAAATGCCAGAGGTTAATCCTGAGATCATCCGCTGACATGTATGTCTCACAGTCACTGTTGACAGATATTGAGTTGACATGATAGGTGTGACCATTAGCAAAGATTCTCCGGGGAGTGACTTCTACCATCAAATCCATAGGTTTCAATACAGGCACCTGCAGGAAAAACAAAACAGAAATCAAAAGGACAGTAAGAATTTCTGATTTTTTTTTTTCTGGCATGACAAGAGCCTGGACAAGAGCAAGTATTCAAATATGGTGACATTATAGAAACTTCCAGCAGTGCATGCAAATTGAATTGCTCCATGGATGAGTAGCTGGGCAGGGCCATCCTGCCAAGAGACAAGGCGCAGACAGAAAGAGCCAGGGAGAGCCAGGCAGATGATGGAAAGTCTGGACTGTCAGAAGGGACACTCTGGTGGCTGCCACAGAACAGGCCAGTGCCACAGCAGGAGCTATTGTCCCACATAGGTAGGAGGTTCTGGCACTGGCAAGCAGACAGTGTAGCCCTAGCACTCGGGTGTCCCTGAACAGTTGTTGCCTATTGTACATCACCACCAGTATTTCTTTCGCCACTTGATATGTGTGTCTCAAAAAAAAAGTAGTAAAAAGGGCATAACTTCCCCAAAATACATAAAATGAATTCTTAAAAACAAAGCCAATATGTGCACTGACATACTGTATGCACACACATACTCCTAAAAAGAATAAACACAGACTATCACTGACCATTGCACTCTCATTATTTCCCTGTCTGTCACTTCAATGTCATGCTTCAATAACTAGACACTGTCAATTTATTCTCTCTTGGTAAAGCATTAAACACTGTAAGGCAGTGGTTCATGACTGGGGCTATTCAGTGTAGCTGAGCATGCACCAAAATCAATCTATCATACATCACTTCATGAGATAGTTTATAAAGGAAAACAGATAAAGTTGCTTGGAGCTCAGCTTGCCACTAAAGGAACAAAAGAATGGCCTATCAATTAAAAAAACAATGGTTTGCTCAGTCTTTGAATTCTGAGGCTACAAGCTATCCCAAAGGATAATCCTTAATCATAAGTAAAAGATCAGCAGTCCATTCATGTGTTCCTTTTCATATAGAGTTTCTTCACAATATACAGTTTTGGCTTGTTTTAGAGATGGAGGTTCTTTGTTTGTTTTTTAAAAGACGAAGAAGCACTAGCAATATACCTCATGGCCTTCCAGTGGTTACTTTTAGTCCCCTCCTTTGTCAAATCACCAGAAGTAAATTCAGACATTGAAGTCTGAAAGCAAAAATCTACTAGTATTTTATAAGCTTCTATGAGCTTCATGACTGCATGTCCTCAGCTGTGAAGACACCAGTATTCACTGAGACACAGCCTACTGAAATTCTTTTTATATTCCTGAAATAAAGATTGAAATGTGATATATGAGGTAAGAACACCTTAAAATTAGTTTTTGCGTCGACAGTTTCCAGCACACTAAGCTAAAGAATCTGGTGTGAAAGCATGCTAAGTGATGCTTGATAGAATTTTATCAGGAAGAATAAAACTGATGAACTTTATGAATGTTTTTGCGTTGGCCACTGTATGATAAACCATTTGTCACTTGAAAAATATGTGACGGATTCAAGACTATATCAGGCAAACTCCAAAAAGGATAATCATATATTTGCTTAACATTGGGTACGTATTTAAACCTTTTATTGAGTCAGTGTGATGACTAGCTTCTTTGTAGAGAAAAAAAAATGAATAGAGACAGCAGCTTACCTGTAGTGATGTTACTGTAGAAAGATCTTTGAGCTTTCCTTCTTCATCTTTTAAGTTGTACCCCTCTGGTCTCTTATCTCTTTCAGTAATTTTCCATAATTTGATAGTTTTATCTTTATAAGAAAACAAATTCCTGTTAGCATAGGAATTCTGAACTCAGTGACCCACATTTCACAAAATAATTATTCCCTAAAGAAGTTTTGGCATCTTGGCTTAGCCAAGTCTTGTGTTGAAGCAGCCTGGGTCTCTTAATTTTTCAGGTCCAAACAATGTTCCCAACTAAAAAGACACTCGTCAAGCACCCCTCAGCTTTAAAGAGAGTCAGAGGTTCCTTGTGGCACATGCTCTCACTCTCATACCAAACTCAGCATTTTGCAGATGGAACAGACCAAAAATGCTAAATGTTCATAGCGTAAAACTCAAGCTTCATAATTTGACTTTGTAAATCTTGCTATTGAAGCGAGATTTCTGGGTTACTCATAAACAGCACAAGAAAAGGGGACAAGCGGTAATGGGCAGGACAAGGAGTAACAGGTACAAACTGAAGCACAAGGAGTTCCACCTCCATATGAGGAAGCACTTCTTTATCGTGAGGGTGCCAGAGCCCTGGAACAGGCTGCCCAGAGAGGCTGTGGAGTCTCCTTCTCTGGAGATCTTCATAACCCACCTGGATGCCACCCTGTGCCACGTGCTCTAGGTGTCCCTGCTGGAGCAGGGGGGTTGGACTAGATGATCTCTAGAGGTCCCTTCCAACCTCAGCCATCCTGTGATTCTGTGGCAAGCACGGAGTAGAAAGCGAGCTCCATGCCAGCTGGCCTACTGTGGGAACAGGCAGTGGTTTGTGGGTGTAACAGCACAGGCTCCAGCAAAGTGCAAAGTGTGTGAAATAAAATAGCATCTCTCCCTCCTAAGAAGGGAAATCATGAGGAAAAGAAACTGAGAGGAATGTGTGAGAAGTGGAGGAGAAAGTGGGGAGAAAAACACCCCAATCATACAGAGAATGACATTAAATCTAAACTCTTTTACTACAGGTGAAGCACCTGTATGATTGAATAAAGATGCCTCTAGTTTGGTAAAGAGCCTACGAAGGCTACAAAAAGGCATTTTAAACATTTTAGATAGGTTTTCTCCTCTATAGATAGTTAAAACCACAGATATACCCGACATTGCCTGTGGGCTACTCCCACTCCTGTAATGCACCCAACCTGCCAAAATTAACATTCCCTATACTGAAAAATGGTATCAGCTGAAAAATTATCAGTTTCCTGAAAAAACATCTCTCCAAGTTTCATGTTTTACCCATGTGTTCATGGTTCTTCTAAAGCCTCTGCACTTTAGCTTCTGCACTAACCTCAGCTCCTGCATCACCTCCTGTCCTTTCCTCCTCCCTTTCCCCAAAACACACAGTGGAGCAGAATTCTTCCCCAGCTTGGGTCATCCAAGTACTTTTTCCTCAAATGGTAGTACAAATCCTTTTAAAGGCAGGATGTTGGAATCATAGAAAACAAGTCAATTTTATTTCCATAGGAACTTCAATTCTGACCTTCTTTTATTTTAAAATGAAAAAATCCAGCAATCCAAACTGTTTTTACTATTACGCATCTCCTAAAGATTTTGCGTTGGTAATCTTCAAGCAAGAAAGATCATACAAGTGATGAGTTCACAGAATCAGAGAATACTGCAGACTGCAACTGAGAAATTCCACTTAAATCTCCAATACATTTCATTTGTATCAATCACACTAATTAATTACTAAATCTACATAGAGGTCATGTTAGGGACTTGAGAGTTAATGTAAATAGTGCATTTCTACTATTCTTCCTCTTGTAATATTTGTAAATTTCTTAAATTAATCTTAAAATAAAAGACCAGAAAGAGTAAAAAGTGCATATTCCATTCCTAGACTTGACTGCTACTGATAAAGCTATTCCTTTCTTGAGGGAAAACTTTTATTTATCAACGTATCACACATATTGGTTTTCTTCTCCTTCATCTGCCTTCCAGACTTTAAAAACTCCCTAGAAATTCTAAGCATGATTTTGTTCTCCGAAGTACAGAAATGTCGTTGTGAGACTCAGTATTCATTCAGTCTCAAGGGTGTTGTGAAGTTTAAATTAATTAATGTCTAGTAAGCAGTCTCAAATGCTCAGATGAAAGGATCTGTATCGGCCAAATTCTGATCTATTCAATGTAGTTCACACTGGAAATTTTTCCCCAATAAATTCTGATGCAAAGGATAGCAATGAATCACAGTAATTTATTATCATACTGCAAAATTAGCTCACTTTACAAGGCAAATCAGGAATTTGCTAACTGCAAGCACTGCAAATCTACAGTGGGATTTGAAAGCCCCTTTGGTTTCCTTCTGTGTCCATTAATTAAGATGCTGCAGTCAGAGCTTAGCTGATAACTTGATGGTAACATGTGAAGTTAAGGAATTCCTAAGGAAGGGAATCAACACCCGCTCTGGTAATGAGGAGACCTGTGCAGGAACAACATCAGACAAAAGTTTCTTTAAAGGGAACCAGATCTGGGCAGGTGCAGACCAGCCGAATCTCCCAGATTGTGGGTGGAATTTAGATGGGCTCTTCCCTCCTGCTCCTCAACAGATGGGTGCCTCTTCCAGAGAATTCAGTGGGACATATTCACGTGTATCTGGGGAAGGACCATGTTCCGTAGGATAATTTTTACAGAATCACAGAATGCTGTTTCTCTGTTTTCGTTTTTCTGACGAAAACTGTGCTTTACATCCTAACCTCCTGCATGGCAAAATTCCCTTAAGCTACCAGGCTCAGTAAGCCAGTAAGCAGTAAGTGGGTGTGTTCCTACAATCTGACCAACATGAGTGTGTGTGTGACTGCTAAGGAGAAAGATCATGAAACTTAAAATAATACACTGCTAAGTACTGTGGATATTATTTATTATATTATTTATTGCTAACTAGAAGTAGTTGCTTTGCTCTAAAATGCTAATTCCTGAACATAAGGTTACAATACTTTTCTATCAGTGATTCCCAATTATGCTCGATTTTTTACAAGAGAAATTATTTTCTGACTACAATGGGATCTAAGAATTAAACTAGATATTTTAGTTTTAAATATCTCCAGCAGTAATAAAAGCTGTGGGTGTCCAAGTATTTCATAAATGACTCTGAGGATCTATTCAGTTTCTTCCCACTATGTCATATCTGCATATCCCTGGTTGACTATGATATTGCTTTTTTTTTTTTGTAATCAACATGTCTTAAGCATGATGGAAAGATGAATCAGTGTCAATATCTTAATATTATTCCTTTGCCTTTCTTGTATAAGACTTCTATAACTCTTCAGAGCTTAAATAAACCATTCTGATGACAATGAACGAAAAGAAAAAGAAATTAACCTCTCTTCCCTACATTCATTTACATATCTATAAAGGATAAAAATTATGATGAACACAGCAGACAAAATTCTAAATACCGAATGAAATGCCACTGCTGTGTAAGGTGAGGCTGTTTTCAGTTACTCTCAGAATAGTACTGCATTATAGCAACAAGGGATAGCTCTCCAAATGCTATGGAGAGTCAATAGGAAAAAGCCTATAGCCATGAATAAAATATATAAATGACAGATACGAGAGTCAGTCAGCTCTGAAGAAGGAAATTACTGAGAAAAGAAAGATTAAAATGAACCTGGATTTTATGTGTATACAGTTAGCAGTAAAACGCACAAGAACAAAATGCTGATAGAGCCTACATAGCCTCTTCTATCTTACCATTTGTTGATAAAAGTGAGTGGGCTGCATTTTGCTGTGGTAACCACTTGATCTTGTTTATTTTTTCCTCTATCTCCAAGCTCTTCAAATAATCAAATTCAGGTTCATGGCTCTGGAAAGTGCTGTAAACATTGTACTCCCCCTGACTGTAAGGCTCATTTTTACTCTGTGGAGAATAAGAACAGCAAAAACATGTGTTTTATGATAGTAATATATTATCTCCAGCTCTTGAGTAAGATAAGCAGCATTATAAACATAGAAATATTGAAAGTGTAATTTAATTTCTTGTTTAAAGCATGATATTGACAGATTTGTTTTTTACAGAAATGAAATTTCCTGTAAGTATTGAAGCAACATTTAATAACAGACAGAATTTTTAAAGAGATGTTGATTATTCACCAAAGCTTTGTACAAAAGATACTGCAGATGGACTGAATCTAAGAGGGAAGCAGAAAAATTATCACAGCAGAGGCAGTGTTTTAAATGGAACAGTCCCATCAAACAGGCAAAAGTTGTTAATAAAAACATACAAATAAAACAAAAAAATCTTGGGCCTTAGTTTAGCATTTTTGAACTTGAAGACATATTTGTTTGGGATAGGAAGAAGAGCAAACTCCCGAATAAAGAACTATTATCCTCTTTCACTTCCTTTCCATAGAGGTGACATTCAGTATTTATTACATCTTGAGAATATAAACAAGTGTGTTGGTTAGATCCAAGTAAAGTATTAAGAAGATAAATAGTCTGCAGCAAGCTATTGGCACTACAATAGTAACTTACATACCTCAGGTTCCCTTTGGAATATAACAACCCGACCCCCCTTGTCACCAGTAGCCAGCAGCTCTCCAGTGTGGTTGAACTCGACTGTAGAAATAATATCAGCTGGAGGAAAAAAGGTGAGAAAAAGAAAAATTTTAGACTGCTGCTGTAAGACATAGTCAGTAGAAACATCAGGAACTCCACACACAAAAAAAAAAAATAACGCAGCAAAAGAGGGATTTGGAGGAATACAAACGAATTCAGTAGCAAGTCACTTATGTGAAGAGGCCGCATGCCATTAGAACCAGAGAGTGCCCCACAGTGAAACAAGAGCAGGCCCAAAAAGGCAGGTTGGTGTTCCCAGCCCACGTGCAGGCTGGGAGGCGGGAGATCTCTGCAGAGGTGACGCCTCACGCAGAGCAAGCTCCGAGCACCTCCAGGCAGGTTTCCGCAGCACAGGCCTCCCGCACAGGCCTCCCGCCAATCCCTCCTGCGAGGACCTACACAAAGGCTCCATCCTGTTGCGTGTATTCTTTATCCTTTACCCTCTATGATGGTTTTAATACCATCCTGAGCACTAGATTCCTCCGACATTTGTTTGAGCCAAGAGTGCAAAAGCAAAGCGCATGTGGCTTGTCCCATCAGAGAGGGACGATGGCAAAACAAGGACTGCTCACTGGGTAATGCTGGCAGGAGCCCATTCAAATCACAGTTTTCTGCAAATCGCTTCAGCACCATAAAAGTGTGTCATCAGAAGATAAAAAGATCCTGGTCTTTTTTCTAACTGTCAGCAGTTTCCTTTCCCTAAACAATTCCATCATCTTACGCAAGAAACCTCACGAAAATCTCAGGACAGTCCTGTGCACAAAACATCATTTATTAGAAAGAGAGGAGAGGAAGAGATTATAAAGGCAAAAGAACTGGTTCTTATGCTTGTAGGAAAATAAATGCTAGAATCCTAATCCACAGTTAATCCTATACTATTAGCATAATTCAAATTAAAATGCCTAGTGCAATGGTAAATTAAGAAGCCATCGTTCATACAATCACAGATAAACGCAAAGGATTACTCTGAGATTGCACATATAAACCTGCTGCAATGATCAGTATTCAGGGATCAGCAACACAGGCCCTATTTCTAGATATGTCCGTAGTTAGCAGCTCCCCTTTAGGCATTAAAAGCCGTGGTTTTCAAACATGTTCATCCTCAGTTTGTACTGAGAACAATAGGGCTACAGAGGGCTAAGCTCTTTTGAAAACCCAGCCCCAAATGAGTTCGCTAAAATTCAAAGGAATTGAAATAACAAGGGGATGTACCATTTCTTCAATACATTTTATGAATTGAAAACATCTGTTCCTATTATTCTTTTAACATACTAGCAGTCGAGTGTCAGAAGGCTTCTATTGCCAGTATCTCTTATCACTGACACAGTCATCCAAAAGCCAAATTCCTAGTGGAAGGACATAATTCATCCTCTAAAGAAGGTAAGCTCTACCCTATTAATGATAAAGAGAAACTTCTTTTATTTTTTTACGAAATCTTCACCATTAAACAGTGATTTCTTTTTTAAGAGTAACAGAAGATATGCCTTTCATCATTTTCCCCATGTACTCCACATGTAAAGGAGAAAAGAGGAATCACAGAGTGTATACAGCATTTTCTTTTCCACTATAAATAGGAATAAAATGTACAGATGCAAGACTTTGAGAAAAACAGAACATGCAGATTTATACTATTTGGGGAATGAACCTAAAGCGTCTCAAAGTTAATGGCATGTGATTTTTACGTGGACTTCCACAAACTGCATATTTTATAGGCTATAACCTGAAAGCCCTAGACTCATTAAGCGCAGTAAGAGCAGAGATCCTCTGCCTATGGTTGGTGATGCTCAGTTGAGCATGTTCTTCTTCTCAGGCTTTGGAGGGGTGAGGGTGATCTAAAAATTGCAATTTTTGCATATAGAAATCATTTTTTTTTCTGGCATGTAAAGTTCATTTGTAATGAATGTGAATGGAAGAATACGTACCGATTATTTTGGTCTCATCCTGAAAAACCCTGCTGATGGTAGGTGGGGGCTCCTGTTTATTAAATGATACATGCATGATTTTAGCAATTTAAAGCTGTTTCTCACCCAACCATATAGGCAGAACTCCAGAAGTCTCATACTGGCACCAGAAGTCTCATACTGGCAATGTTTTTAGAATGGAGACTCTTAAGTGTGCAGTAAAGTCCACATGGAAGGAGAAGGGTAGATGCAGAAGGAAAGAACGTAATGTATTTACGTGCGTGTGCTGTCTAACTTAGATGCACTTTTCCCAAAAAAGAACCAGACAAAGAAGAGTTGTGTGCCAAGGAAACGAATGGCCTTAGATCTTCTCTTTCATGCACAAATACACCTGCTAACGGCTTGCAGTCCTTCCACGGTTCCATGAACTGTTCTCCAAATGGTCACAAAATAGCAAGGTGCACTTTACCCAGGCCTTCAGCAAAGTCAAGAGCACTGTTTTCCCAGACTTCAATGGAAAATGAACCAGGATTTTAATAAAACCAGTCTGCGTTTTGCTATTAAATTTGCCACTGCATTTGTTACCAAGATACTATATATATTGTTAGGGAAATGAAATCAGTGAAAATGTATCCATACGCATAGATAAAAAGCAACGTTTTGGAAGTAAAACACTGTCTTCTCCCACAGTACTTCTTTGAGGCATATCTCTCCGTAGCATCAGAGGAAAACTAATTCTGAGCTGGAAACTCTAACTATCATTTTAAAATCAACTTATTCTGAAAAAAAGCAGAACCAATACTCCAATCTGACATGCGATGCAGCATGTTGGTAAAAAATTAGCCCTGGATTGGAAAATCACTTTTATTGATCCAGTAAGTAACAGATGAAAGCAAGAGCCCCCAAAAAATCTTATTCATCAGAAGGTAAACATTAGTCATGCCGTTTTCCTAAAGACTAGCCAGCCTAGATCTTTCTAAGACAGGGGGGCAGGAGGAGACTCAATCAGCAAAGCTTTTCATTCCCTTCTGGAGAACATTCTCTACATATTCATCAGGGCTGTAGCGACACCAGCCACGCCGGTCCCATCCCGCAGATCCTTGCGCTGGGAAGGGCCCTGCCGCGTACAATGCCGTTAACGACCGGATTTCACCCTCTTCACAATATGTAAATGCTGCCCGCTGGAGGAGCCGATGAATTTGCATGTACAGTAAGCCCTTGACAGGGGATGGCAGAGATGAAAAGACCCTTCCCTCCTTGCACGCAGCGCCCTTCCGTATCTCTGCTGGCAGGGCCAAGCTTTGCACTTACAATTAGGATTATCAGAGACAGATAATTTACCAATTAAGAACAATTACGGGTAACCTCACTAGCCAACGGGCAAATGTTTCCAATCATTGTAAATCCCAACTTTTATCTGATAGTCTTATTGCATCTACAAACTTCCCATTTTGTCTCCTTAGAGGTGGATTAAATTTGTATTTTAAAGGCACAAATCTCACCCTTTTCATTCAGATAAAAACATAAGTTAGATTGCATCAAAATACAAGGGTTGATTAAGAAAAGCAAAGCAAAATCCTTCAAATGACGAAAATACTCCAGGGCAGCATGAACCTGAGCATCTACAGCAGCAAGATTGCTCCAGCAGGTACCACACGTTACAGCTCTCTTCCCTGGATTCATTTTACCCATGTACATATTCAGCCTGGGAGATTATTCTGCAGGCCAAACCAACACCAAGCCTGAAGTATTTCATCCCGTGACTCTTGGTCAACTCTGCTCTTTGCACCTTGTTAACTAATTCCTCCACACCTTCGACCGGGATCGGTGGCTGTGTTGTACCCAGCAGCTGCTGCTCCGCTGTGTATAGCCAGCTTCTCTAGTGGCTCTAAGTCTCTCCGTGCAGATCTGCGCACACCAAGGGCTCCGGGCTGTTTGCACAGCCCTTCCCTCGCCTTCCCCAGCGCTGGCTCAGCAGGGCCGCAGGCAAACGGGCCCCCCAGCAGCCACCCACCTCAGACTCGCTGCAGGGCGGCATGAAATGAAGGTTGGCACATTGGAAGGCCACATTATTTGGGCCTTTAATTCACACCTTCGCTTACTGTTTGATGTCACTTTCTGGCCTCTTCCATCTTTGTTTTACAGGCTTTTTAACAGCTCATTTCTAGGGCTTAAGCATAATAAAATGCAGACAAGTCCAAATACTTTTATAGTAACTAAAAAATCCCTGATCTACATAGTGAATCTTTGGAACTGGTAACTGGCTATTTTTGATGCTGGCATAATTGCATACTATTTTCTATCTAGCATGTACTCAGGGAGCCTGAACAGACTTTACATAATCTTTACCAAAAAAAAAAGAACACCTTTATAAAAAGATCTTTACATAATCTTTTGGTCAGCAACCTGAAGCAATTCTAAGCAAAGCTCAAGTATAGTTTTCTGCACAGGTTATTTCTAGTAGCAATTTCTTCCTTTCTGGGCTCTTTCATTTGAAGGCCCTGAAATATTTTCCAAGCGTTAACCTCGCTTCACAAGATCAGGCAAGCCACGAGAACCTCAGAACTACTTCACCCACCATCCGAATACAAATGTGAGTGCCAGGAACAGGCCAGAACATCCCCTTGCTCTCAAATCCTCTACGAGCAGCATCACAGTGCTGAGCCGACTGCCTGAGCAGCCGGGCTGGCGTTTTGCTGTGCGTGTTCCCAGTGGTTAGAAGGCAATCTTGTAGGCTACGTTATTTCAACCCACTTCTGACCTGGCCTAACCTTGGCTTGTGAAATCCAATAAAATCAGAGCAGAGTCTGGCATGGCTGTAAGCAATGTTCAGTCATACTAACACAAAAGTCCCCAAGGAGCAGAATCTGGAAGAAACAATAAAGAAGCTTGCAATGCAGACACATGGAAAACAAAAGGACAACTGATAGATAAAAGATAAGGAGTATTACAGGATCTTGTATGAAGGGAAGGCCATTCCAGTGAGCCGTTTTGTTGGAATTTAATTTAGACTTGGTCAAAAAAAGGGAAAGAAGAAAATTGGATAGAAAGAGTCCATCACCCCCTTGTAAAACTAAAGCTCCAAAGGTTTTCTCCAGCCACTAGAAAACAACATGT